CATTACGCAGGCTTGTGAAAACATTTTTGCTGAGTATGGCGAAGGCACCTTATCAAAATTTTGTGCATGGAAATGGTTCGCTCGCTTTCGTTCTGCTAATTTTGACGGAAAACATGAGTAACGGTCTGATCATCTAATCACTGCTGATGGAATTCTTAGAAAAGTTTAGCAAGACAAAATTATCAGCAGCATCAAAGTTGATACAGAGCTGGGCATTGACCAAGAAACTGTTTTGAATCATTTCCACAAAGCTGGCTACAAAACGCATGACTCATGAGTTCACCGTGAGTTACTCCCAGCTGGTCAGACGATTATCCCAGCTGGTCAACTCTACTGTGAACAACTAGACAAAATACGCCAGGCAATTGAAAGAAAATGGCGCGAATAGAATAACAGAAAAGGTATTGGCTTCCATCATGAAAACGCCCGACTTCGATTACCCTTCAAAAGTTGGGCGAACATGATTGCGAAGTTATGATGCGTCCACCATATATTCCAGACGTAGAACCATAGGACTATCACTTATTCCTATCTTTGTAGAACTCTCTGAAGGGAATTAAGCTGGTTTCAAAAGACCCTGTAAAACCACTTGGTTCGGTTTTTCAATCAGAAACCACAAAGGTTCTTCACAGATGCCATGATGGCTCTACCCGAAAGATGGCGAAATATTGTCAATAATAATGCAGCATATTTGGTTTAAGTAAATTCTATTTCAAACTGTAAGAAAACCAGCTGAATTTTACTCAAGAAACGCCACGAACACTTTCCCGGACCCAATATTACGATAAACTAGAATACGGAATTTTATTTATAGAAAAGGTAAGGCTTATTTAAATGTCCCTGAAAGTAAATGCTTTAACGGAATTTTCACAGAATTAGAAGATCTTCTTCAGATGTTCGGCAAAGAGGGTGAGTAAAAACTATTTAAACGAAATAAGTTATCAACTGCTTCGGCGCCTTAAAATTTTATAGCCTTTTCCTTCTCTCAATTTTACGACGTGAGAGATCGGTGGTTTATGTTCGCTTTTTAAAATATTCACTTTATTTTCCAAACCTCTATTTATTCTTCATTAGCATTTGGTTTAATGGCATCTGCATTTGGTTTAATGGCGGTAACTGCAAAATGTAAACAAGATAGCTTTAAAGGGATACTGTGATAAAAATAGATCCCTTTTGCGATTTTAAGGGGTTTAAATTAAATGTTACTGGATAATTCACTCGGGTCTCTAACAATAAATGTTGCATAATTTATTTTAAAAAGTTATATAATGTATTTTAAAATTTCATGCAGGTTAAAATTTGGTGGTTAAGACATAGCATCATTCTGTTGTGTCTTAAAATGAAATAATGTATATAATTTATACTCATTTATATTCGCTCTTTATTAGAAGCTTTTATTTAGTTCATTCATGGTGTTTACTTAGGATGTTTTTAGTCCAAAGGGATTTGAATCCCGAAGGACTATTAGTTTCGTTTTGGCATTTTGCGTCGGACGGATAAATGTCGGTTCACTTTACAAACTGTTGCCATAAAATGTTAGAGTCCTGCATTATATTTGAAGAAATTAAATAATGAAAAATCTGCATAAATGTATGTATATTTCTCGTATTGTGATAAAACAACGGCACATAGAGTCATCGAAATTTTGAATAACGTAATCCTCCAACGAATATGAGCATGTGGAAGACCAAATTTGAAATTTGAAATTTGTTTTATGATCGATTTCCTATTTTTTAAAACTTTGACGAATTTTTGATTAACAAACTCAAGGATTTCAAAGCGAGCAATGGCAACGTTGTGCAGAAAAAAACATTTTTATCTCCAGCGCGTGAGTCTCTGTATCGGAAATTCTAAAGATATGCTCGTTTTAAAACTATTTTGCGATATTGCTGTTGCACTGGATCTTATGGTTTAAGTGCGAGGAACATGATATTTAATAAAGAAAGGTAACACACAAAATGTTAAAAAAACGCCCCTTTGGACGTAATTTAAAATCTGAAACATTTCAGATTTTTTTTTTTTTTTTTTTTTTTTTTTTTAAGAAAACGAAATCCTGTTGCTCCACAAAGTATCACACTAGACTTACAAATCGTAAGTAAAAAAGGCAAAAGTGTAAGCAATAACATCAGTTTTCAATAATACTGTGATATTTCTACAGTATTTCTATTCAATAATACAATGATCTTTATACATTTTTATACTTTTGTTTACTTTTTTTTTTTTTTTTTTTTTTTTTTTTTTTTGTGTGTGTGTGTGTGTGTGTGTGTGTGTCTTATTTCATTGTATTCATTGGGTGGGATTCGGCCGTCGGTTTTAACCTACTTCGTGATAAGCTGTCGAGTTGAAATTTTGTATACACACTGTTTGTTGAAGAAAATACAATGTGCTAAAGGATATTCTTAAAAATTTAATTTAGATTTTTATCATTTAACGTTTAACCGATTTTCTTCAATTCACGTAACGAACTGAAGATTTCAGAGATGCCTTCGTGGAGGACTTTCTAAGCGAAACTGGCTCATGTACATGTTACACATGGGGAAAACCACGAAAACACCCATGCAGCCAGCCGTTCTCGGGATTCGAACCTCGAACCGAACTACCAGTGTTCACTGACTTTACCGCTCGGCCGCTGGTAGATCTCCAAAGAAAAAGTGTCTTTCGGTCTGAAGCAGAAGAGAGAGAAAAGCGTTTCAAGTGCTGTGTTGGTGTATTTAATAATGGCAAAGCACACTAGGGCTATCTGCCTAAAGGGAGGGATGCCTTCGTGGAGGACTTTCTAAGGGAAACTGGCTCGTATACACGTTACACATGGGGAAAGCCACGAAAACACCCATGCAGCCAGCCCGTTCGCGGGATTCGAACCTCGGACCGAACTACCAGTGTTCAGCGACTTTACCGCTCGGCTGCTGGTGGGCCAGTTTCAAGTGGAAAAATTGCTTTTGAGTTTTCATCTTGGCGCAAGTAATGAAGAAATGGTGGTTAGTCGCATATATATTTATTTTATCTTCAAGTAAAATGCTCGTTGCTTTTTGTAACTTTTTTATTACATCCAATTTCCGAATCAAAATACTGAAGGCTGTTTCTTCAATTCTTCGATGACGTTCAATTACTTTTATTTATTACTTTCTTATAATTTATTACTTGTATTTTAACAATGAATTAAATCTTTTATTGTTGCTAACGTCTAATTGAGACTACAAAAAAAAAATGGAAAGAACGAAAATTTGAAAAAATATTTTTATACAATAAGCTTAAAAATAATAAAAATGAATATGCTAATTAATGCATTAAAATGAGGAAAACAAATTATCATGCCGTTTAGTGGGAATAAAAGATTAAATAATTCAATTTACAGAATTCACCTCCAATTTTGAATCGCGAATAATGAAAGCCTGTGTCGCCCTTGATAAACTAAAGAAGACAATGCCTTATACATCGGGCGATACAATGAAAGTAACAGAAAATTTTGAAACGCTAGTGGGCTGGAGATTTGACAATGAAATTCAATTAATCGATTTCATTATTTAGGATTTTCACGCTCTTCTTGTTCGCCATATATAACTGTTGATGAAATCTGTAAATAGAATTAGTTCATCTATTATTCCTTTTAACCTTTTGAGGCTGGGGCTTTGGTAGCAGTAAAAGCTACCAAAGGACGGGGAATCTTGAACCGAATACTTTTCCCCCTTTAAGAAATCACCTTCTATTTGCAAAAAAGATTGTGTGTAGAACCCACCAGCGGCCGAGCGGTAAAGTCGCTGAACACTGGTAGTTCGGTCCGAGGTTCGAATTCCGCGAACGGGCTGGCTGCATGGGCGTTTTCGTGGTTTTCCCCATGTGTAACGTGTATACGAGCCAGTTCCCCTTAGAAAGTCCTCCACGAAGGCATCCCTCCCCTTAGGCAGATAGTGTGCTTTGCCGTAATTAAATAGACCAAAATAGACCATCTTGTGTGTAGTTTAATTGATTCTCAGAGGGGTGCATCTATGTAGCAAAAGGAAGACCTTCGAAAGAGATAAGTGGTTAAAACCCTAGGAACGTCAAATTTGACATTTCACCCCACTTTTCAGCCTGGAAAATGGGGGGGGGGGGAAAGACATGGCCACTAAAGTGGACAACCCCGTCTTCTCAAAGAGAGGACTGTATGGCCACTATAATGGCCATCCCGTCTTCAAAAGGTTAAACTATATAATAAGGTATTCTCTCTCTCCTGTCTGTATGGCTTTCGGTGTACCGGTAGTGCACTCGGCTCGTATTCGAGAGTTCCAGGTTCGATTCCCGCGGAGGGAATCGAACATTCCTTTTGAATACAAAATTCGGAACAATATATTCGTTATTCTCTCCAGATCGAGTTGTCACATACTATTGTGCTGTCTAATTCATCTATAGCTCTTATGTATTGCTGAGGTATTTACTTACTCCTGCAAGCCTCATGACCTATCTGGTGGCATAAGTGAGGTTATAATTTTCTTTTCTTAAATAACAACAATAAACTAGTAATGGTTATAAAAAGGTAAAAGTAAGGAGTCCAAGAAAAGGCAGATAAACCGCGAGTTCAGCGGCAACACAAAAAAAACCTTAAGAAACTCACTGATACGAACATACAATCTAAATCCTTTCAGACTGTGTGCTGTGTTATTTTACATACCCAAAAAAACGTGTCTACAAATTAAATGGCTTCAAAACATAGTTAAAACATTAATTGTCAGTTTTTATTTATTATAATACATTTTATTCTCTTTTCCTGCAGTTTTAACTGAAGTCGCGATAACCGTCAATGAACAAAACCGCGAGTGTGTTTCGGTAAATCTTCAATTGCTGTACTTGCTTTTATATTACCAGTCATTCTACAGATGTCAAATATTTTTGCTTCGAAAACACAACATAATGGCCATAAAGAGTTTGTTAAAACAACCTTAACAAACTCTTTATGGCCATTATGATGGTAGTTCTCGAAAGGCGCGTGGGCCCTGAAGCAAAATTATTCTGCCCACGAATATATGTTTCGTTCTACTGCTCCTCCTTCTGCTACTCCACATTCTGCTGTTCCTCCTCTTGCTGCTCCTTTCGCTTCTGCTCCTCATTCTGCTGCTTCTCACGCTGCTGCTCCTCCTCCTACTACTGCTCCTCTTCCTGCTGTTCCTCCTCGTGCTTCTCCTCCACCTGCTGTTCCTCCTCTTGCTGCTCCTCCTTCTGCTTATCCTCTTGCTGCTCCTCCTTCTGCTTATCCTCTTGCTGCTCCTCATTCTGCTGCTCCTCCCTGCCGCTACTTGTCTAAGAGGAGCAGCGGCAGGTGGAGCAGAAGGAGGAGGAGCAGCGCAATGAGGAGCAGCAAGAGGAGGAGGATCAAGAGGAGGAGCAGTAGAATGAGGAGCAGCAAGAAGAGGAGCAGCAGGAGGAGGGGAGGAGAAGAAAGTGGAAGAGCAGCAAGAGGAGGAGCAGCAGAAGGAGGAGCAGCAGGCGGAATAACAACAGGGAGAGGAGGAGCAGCAGCAAGAGGAAGTGTTAGGTGTGTGTGTGATTAAGGCAAAGCCTCGAGGGCTATCTGCCTAAGGGGGGGATGATTTTGTGGAGGACTTTCCAAGGGAAACTGGCTCGTATACACGTTACACATGGGGAAAACCACGAAAACGCCCATGCAGCCAGCCCGTTCGCGGGATTCGAACCTCGGACCGAACTACAAGTGTTTAGCGACTTTACCGCTCGGCCGCTGGTGGGCCTTGCAGCAAGAGGAGGAGCAATAAGAGGAGGTACAGCAGGGGAAGGAGCAGAATAAGGAGCAGCAAAAGGAGGAGCAGATAACGGTCAATGAACAAAACCGCGAGTGTGTTTCAGTAAATCTTCAATTGCTGTAGCTTCTTTTATATTAGCACTCATTATACAAATAGCAAACACTTTTGCTTCGAAAATAGCAATCAACCTTAACAAACCCTTTATGGCCATAATGTTGTTGTTGTGTCAAGTCAAAAAATTTCAAACACGTGAGATCAGTTGCCACCAGAAGAATATTCTCTCATAAATTTCAAGTTAAAAATATTGAATATAATAAAAATAATAATCCTTAAGAAACTTCTTCTCCTCTTCTCCAAAAGCAGATGCGATATTTATCCTCAGAGGAGCAGCAAGAGGAGGAGGAGCAAAAGGAGGGGCAAGAGGAATAAGAGCAGCAGAATAAGGAGGAGCAGGAGGAGCAGCAGGGAGAGAAACAGCGAAAGGAGGAGTAGCAGGCGGAGAGCAGCAGGGAGAGGAGCAGCAGAATGAGAAGCAGAAGGGGGAGGTGCAGAAAGAGGAGCAGCAGCAGGAAGAGGAGCAGTACCTGAGATGTTTACAATATTTCAGTTGCTCATAACAAATACATTTTAGTAATTTCTATTTCTTCACAATAAATTCTTACAAATAAATTTTCTGCAAAAAATTTGTTTCTAAATGATCAGTCAAATTAGTTTCTTTATCTGAATCTTTATTTAGCAGCAAATGACATAAATGGGCTTTCGACTTTCAAATAGCATATTGAGAGAAAATCATATGACGCATTTTGTATACGGAATGAAAATTAATTTTTTTATTTAGTGCAATAATTATTTTTTAGAAACATGTTCTCAAAAATAGAAAAAGTCTGGAGCACAATGTAGAAAAAGAAATTGCAACAAGAGGAAGCAAATCAGAAACTGGCGGGATCTCTAAATAAACAATAGAATTAAAAACACAAGAAGATTAGACCACTTGTAAGGATCCTAAGTTTTACTAACGTTTATTTTATTTTAAATCTTTACTATCACTTCTTATTTTCTACTTCCGGCCAGAATTAAAAGCTTTAACTTATTTATGCAAATTTGTCGTGCTAACGCCAAGTACTTAAGTTGTGGCTTTTTGCCAAGCAAGAGAGAGGAAGGAGTTATTAGAAGCAGGCCGCTTGCCATAGTAGTTTTTACTCGTTTGCTGGTTGCCTCTAAGGCCAGAGGTTTAGTCCTCTTGATAATTTCAAATGTATCGTAGTTTTAGCAGCTCTCTATACTACATACGGATTTTGTTAAATAACGGCCAATCTTAAAGTTAGGCACTTGTATATTAATCCAAAGTTAGTTTTAGTTAGTATTTTTATATTCTTACATTCAGACCACAAGTGGTTTGTCTCTGTATTCCGAAGTTCCGGAAATCTCTGTAAAGATAGAAAAAATAAAGGGTTTCGTATACCCTTCCCGTGTGTATTGTCTACTTCACAATTTATTGAACATAGCTTGAGTAAGCTCCCTGTTCCGAGTCAGGACAGTTCATGTTTCCAAAGCAAGCAAAGAGAAACACAAGTCCTGATACACTTATGTAGCTATGGTGGGGCAAGGGGGGACATCCGTCGCCGTGCGCAGCATCCAGGGGGGGCCAAATTGATGATACACATTTCAGAATGAAATGTTTTTCATTCTTGGAACACAGAAAGGGGCACAAAATCTTTAGGTGTCCCCGGGCGATCAAAACCTTAGCTATGCCCCTGGATTAGATGGACAAGCAATTGAACTAGGACCGTCACCATCAACATCTGGTTTGGAATTTCATAATGAAAATTTATCTCAAAATGTAAATTCATCAGACTATGATCAAGAAGGAGCCACGAATTGTACCAATCGAAAACTTAGATGTTGACGTAGAAAATTCGCCGGGTAATAACGTAATATCTCAAAACGAAGATTTTGACTTTATATTTAAACGATTCAGCTACCTGGCCTGATACCATTTCTATAAAAATTAGAGATTATTTAATTGAAAGTGGCCCTCCCCGGTTGATAACCATTTTCCGATAGATAATTATGGCATAAAGGTTTCAGAATCTATTATAGAACATTACCGAATGGAGAAAAGTACTTAGAAATTATTTAGTACATTCGCGAAACGCAGTTTTTTGCTTCCCATGTAAACTATTCAGTGAGAAGCATTCACAGCTATTAAGGATGGATGTAATGCTTGGGCACATTTAACCCACATTTTGAAAATACATGAAAGCAGTCACCTTAAACATAATTCAAAATGCAATGAACTCAAAATGTCTCTGCGTAATTTATGTGCTATTGATGCAGCTCAATAAAGACTTTATGAAGCAGAAAAGGTTTACTGGCAATCGGTTATTGAAAGGCTTATTTATGTATTTCAATATTTAGCCCGGCAATGCCTTGCATTTAGAGTTTCTTCGAAAGAATTGTATCATAGTGACAATGGAAATTTTTTGAAATTAGTTGAAACCATAGCAAAGTTTGATCTAATAATCGCTGAACATTTCCACAAATTCAAACTTCTCAAAAGAAGAACATTGCTCATTACTTAGAGTAATGTAATGTCTCATTACTTAGAGTAATGTAATGTCTCATTACTTAGAGTAATATAATGTCCTGTGTTTATTCATTCTGTATTATTAGAACTTTCAACTGTCCATCATAGATGGCTGTATAGCATCACTAAGCATTGCTATTTGGAAAACGGCTGCTACTTCTGTTTTTAAGTTAGTACAATTTCTCATAGTAAACATTATATAATATTGCTTACATTTTCTTATACTGCCATTTTTTATTCATAATGAGTCATTTTAGACATTTTATTTTAAATGTCAGTTTGAGAAAATTGTGGAGTGGGTAGATAAAGATCTACCGAAAAGAGTGAATTTAAACCCAAATGTACTGCTTATCAAGCCAAAACACCACGGGAAACGTTTATGTTTGGCAAGGAATTTCTAGAACATTTGACATTTGAATCCAATAGGTACAGGTTACAAAATCGTAGCAAAATGAATTCAATCACAATCGACGAAGTGAAGGTATTTTGGAGGATCTGTACGTACATGTGAGTTGTAGATTTACCATCTAGAAGATGGTAATGATCACTGCAAACTAGGCAGGAAATGATTTCAAATGAAGTGACCGTAAATCGTTGGGAAGAGATTTGTATTCATGTATGTATATGCATGCTATCCACTAAAGTGAACAAACTGTATCAATTATTTAACACGAAATTTATATAAAATTATTTTTTTTTGTATTATTACTAAGGTTATTTTAAGTAGAAAAAATACAAACATTTTCGAACTTCTCTAGATTGTTTGTATGCAACAAAGGGTTCTAACATTCGAAACATTCTGTCTTTTCCTTGGATATGTATTTTGAAAGTTTTTTCTATTTGAAACTAAACTTTGATGTTTTTGTTTATTTCCTTTTGAAAATATTATCTATCGTTGCTTTACATATCGAAACATCTTGGCTTTCACAGCATTTTTAATAACTATATAAGAATAATATATATTATTTAGAAGCTACACAAAGTTTAATTTTTGTAGGTCAAAATTTGAAAGAGATTCTAAGACTTAGCGTTTTAATCATATATTCTGAAAATGTTGAGATCCCACACAGATTGAAGAGCAAAATATTTAACTTTGCATTTGACTAGATGTTATACACCTGCTTAGAAAAGGTTTACTGTCGCTAATATTATAACGGCTTATAGCTGAAATGCAAATTGACGTGAAAAATTTGAATCAACATTATATTTACAAAAAAGAATCTTGTTCGCAAAATCTTATATTAGAAACAGCTAAAAGAAAATATTGTGTCATGCACACACTCAACAAATCAATATTTGCATTTGCGGAATGTAAAGTGGTGCCATAATTTTCTAGTCACTATAGTATTTATATTTGGATTGCAAATTAATAAAGGTATTGGGATTTGCTCTAGATACCTTCACCTGTAACAATTGTTACTCCTTGAACTTCTAAAGAAGGTTCCGAACTTTTGGCTGTCCATTTTACTCTTGTGGCATGTTTATTCACTAATTTTACACGAATTATTAAAACACAAAAATCTTCGAAATGTAAATTGTTAAAGATATCTGGCTTTGCTCTGGATATGTTCACCTAAAGGTATGTTACTGTTTGGAGTTATTATTATTCATGGCTCTGTCAGTATTTAACACTTTTTGTTACGCAATAATAAGAACGAATGTTTTAAGGTATGTGCCTACATATGGAGCCCTTTTTTTAAAATACATAAAATTTTAATTAAACACACATGTTTTTGAGTAATATGGGATATAAAAGTATAAATTTGAATTGAATTTTATAGAACGTTTCATTAATTTTTCAAATGTAGGCAATATTTAGCAAAATTTTAGTGAAAATTTTCATTTACGCCAGATCTCATAAAATAAATTCTAATGAATATACTTCCTTTATCTTTACACATTATATAATTAACATACTTACCTGTGTTCTGTAGCAAAAGATTCGCAGTACTTATAAAATTTTTTGAAATATTCAAAACTTGGGGCAAAAACTCAAAATTTAAACAAAAAAATTCTCTTTTGTTTCAAATACTGTCAATAAAATCAATAAATAAATACAAAGAGGTCAGATTTTGCTGCAGAACGCAGATAAAGATGAATAAAACATTTTAACAAAATTTCATTTCAATATTCTAAATACATTTTGAGAAATTAATGTAATCGCAATCAAAAGTAACGAAAAACACAATTTCTCAGAAAATGCATT